TAATAATAAATCAGATTTCCTGTAGGAAGTATTTGAACAGAATACATATTCACCTGAAATGATTTATTTTATAAATATATAATATTCCTCCGTTTATCAACTAAACCAACCGCCACTGTTTTATGGTCCAACTTACTTCAAATGTAAACAAACTCTCTATAACCTCTCATTACCCGCCACCCCCCTCACCAATAAGTTGTATAGACAAGGATAGTACGATACCGGTTTCAAAATACATGTATTGTATTGGAATAGGCATGGCAACTCTATGTGTTATTATTACTCTGAGGCATCGACTAAGGAACATGCTGCCACAGCATATGTTACGCTGTGATGCTGCATTGTTGGTTGCATAACAAAATTTGAAACTATTCTATAAGTTTGTTGATATTGTAGAGAAAAGATATATATAATCCAAACATTTCAAAAATGGATTCAGATAATGAGGAATTAATAGATGATCCCGATTACGTGGGACCTTTTAAAAAAGTTAAAGAAATAGAAGGTCATTTACAATTTGCTCTTTTTTTTTAATTTTCAATAATCTCTTTTTCAGTGAACAAATTGTCTTCTGAGAAGTTATCCAAGGTATTATCTGAAGTATTTGACGAGGAATTACTTACAAGACAAAAACAGTTAGAGGATATCGAAGAAAAAATTTTTAAAGCTCAGAAATTACTTCACCTAGTGCGATATGTTTTAGTAACCTCCTATTACAAGAAAAAAAGTTTAGATATTTCAACTAGTGAAGAAAACACTAATACTAATTTTGATGGTCAAAATAGGATACATCCAGCATTGAAGAAACTTTTGGGTGGAAATGCAAAGTTAGATATCTTCACTTGCGGTAAACGTAGAAATGCCACAAAAATCTGTGATAGTAGTAAGGCTTCTACATCCCAAACTTCTGTTGCAAAAAGGATAAAGTTAGATATCAAGACAGATCCTCCAAAAAAGACCTTAGATAAGAATAAAACTTCACTGAAAAGTAGAAGGAAAATACAACATAAAATAATTATTGGGAATATTTCTAAGTGGATGCAGCTGGAAGAAAATAAAACTACATATAAATGGATGATGTACGTTAGAGGAGAAAGAGAAACTCCTGATATATCACATATTGTAGAAAAAGTTATTTTTTACTTACACCATACCTACAAACCTCATGATGTAGTGCAAGTCACGTAAGTAAATTTCAAAAGATTTTTTCACTAGTCAGGTTCGATTAAAATTGATTGATTCACTTCATTGGCTTACTTGTGGTGGTCAAATGTCGTCAAATAGTATCAGTAACTGATGAAGCAACTTTGTAGCAAAATGCGTTTTAAATAAAATTCATTGTGAAAATTCTATATTTATTATCATGGATAGAATAAAATAGTGATTTTTTATTTATAGGTACACAAACTCTGTGTACCTTGAATGAACTGCATCATATATTTTCACAAAAAAAAAACAACTTTTATTTTCTCAAAATAACCGGCACTTTATAACACAAGTATTCTCCCACTAATTGAAGAAAGGCCGGACCAATCAGGTACGAGAGCATCAAGTTTTATTCTAAACAACGTTGATCTTTTTTTCTTCACAATTTTTATTATCATGGATAGAATAAAATAGTGATTTTTTATTTATAGGTACACAAACTCTGTGTACCTTGAATGAACTGCATCATATATTTTCACAAAAAAAAAACAACTTTTATTTTCTCAAAATAACCGGCACTTTATAACACAAGTATTCTCCCACTAATTGAAGAAAGGCCGGACCAATCAGGTACGAGAGCATCAAGTTNTTTCCATCTCTGTGCTATTTCCCCATGACATAATGTTGTAGTTCAGAGTTGAGTGAACTAATGCATAGTATACATTTAGTAGAGATTTCATGTTCAAGGATCTCTTCAGTTGCTTAATCGCAAAGCACTGGCTACTGAGTTTTTTGCAGATAAAGTCAATGTGCCGGTTCCAGTGCATTTTGGAGTCGATGAATGTGCCCAAAAATTTTGCATCTTCACACATGCTCATCGTGATATTGTTTATTAATATATTGTAGTCTGATTGGTTTTTATGCATTCCAGTGAATTCAATGCATGTTGTCTTACTAATATTGATTAAAAGTTGATTTCTTTGGCACCATTCATAAAATTCATGTATGACTGTAAGGGCCCTGTTATTTGCTTCTTCTGGCGTGTTGCCATGCATCACTATTGAGGTATCATCTGCATACATGAATGTCTCTCCCGTACTTATGTGTAAAGGCAGATCATTGACATACAAGATGAATAGTAGCGGGCCTAGGATACTTCCTTGCGGTGTACCCAGTTCTATGCTAATTTTTTCTGATATTACATTTTCTGTCTGTACTACGAGCTGACGATTGGTAACATATGATAGACAGATACACATTTATTTTTCCCTTGCCACTTTAACATGGATTAGGTGAGTCAGTAAATTATATAAGTAAAAAATATATAAAAGGTATTTATGCTATACATATGATTTATGGACATGGATTATGTTCGTGAATCCAGGGTATGAAAGAAAAACTCGCGGGAGTATGAACAAGTATGAATTATGTACAATTACATAAAACACAAAAAATTATAAAAGGTAATAATGCTTAACAACTAATCGTTTGACATGAATTACATTCGTCAATTTAGAGTATGAAAAAGTTAATCTTTCAGTAAAATACAGGTCTAACAGTGAAATGACAACATTATGATTATTGCTACACAAAAACTACACAAAATTAACATATACTACACATTAGCAAACAAGTTCCATAAATACTTAGAGCATGCATAGGTTTTGTGGGATTACTAATGATAAAAACGATTGTGATTTTTATGTAAGCTATCAAATATTATTAAAGACCCAAAGCCATATAAGTAACATATTTTTTGAAATATGAAAAATGCTATTACAGACAATAGGAATATTTTGATGATGTCCTGAGTTGAACATATATAAATTGTAAATCCGATATCATAATCAAACCTAGCTATTTTTTTTTCAGGGAATCTCCATTTCATCTTTCTAGAAGAGGATGGGGAGAATTTCCTTTGAGAGTCCAAATTTTTTTCAAGTGTCCTTTGAATAAACCCATCAGTATTGTACATAATCTGAAATTAGATAAATCTCGAACTGGTAGACAAACATTAGGTAAGTGCATTTTTCATATCATACAAACTAAATACACAAATAATATGAGAAATCGGCAAAAAGGCAAGTTGATCGCTTCCTTCCTTCCTTTTTTCAACTAGCGAACGGTTTTTGAGATTGAAAATGAAATGCATTCATCTGCTTCAAAAAATAAAATTATTCAGTTTGAACAGGATCTCGTTGGAGTTAATTGGGAAAGTGTAACACAGAGTATAGATGTAAATATAGCATACTGCTGTTTTTCGAATATTTTCAGTAGAACCTGATCTTTGTGGAAAAAAAGTTTAATAAAACTAGGCCCAATTCATGGATAACAAGGGGTATAAAAAAAGCTTGCTCTAGAAAACGCCCATTATACAAAAAGAAGACACTAGGGCTGATAAGTACTCGGTATTTTAAAAAGTATTGTGCCGTTCTCTGTAAAGTTATTGCAGCTGCTAAAAAAATGTCCAACACTGAATATATAATGAAAGCCGAAAATTAAACGAAAGCTACATGGTCATTAATTAAAAAAATAACAAAACCCAACTACTACAAAAACAATATCCTAGAAAGGTGTGCAAAAAAATATAAAGATTCACAAACCATAGTAAATCAAATCAATAAGTATTTTAGTGAAGCTTGCCGTGACCTGAATAAACCAGATAGCCCAGATAATACATAAATAAAAGAATGTGATGATGCAACAACTAAAAAATAAAAAAATCTGTTGGTGAAGATCATTTTCCTATGTGTCTATTGAAAGAAACAGTAGAGATCATAGCCTATCCTTTGACTTATATTATAAATTTATGTTTCTCACAAGCAGTATTCCCAGAAGTACTGAAAGCGGCATCTATTAAAGCTATATTTAAAAAAGTGAACAGAGATAAAGAAAGTAACTACAGACCCATATCATTATTGCCAAATCCCAGTACAATTTTTGAAAAGCTCATGAACAAACATTTACTTAAGTTTTTAGATGATAATGTGTTGTCAGCAAAAGAACAAAATGGATTCCGTAAAGGTAAATCAGCCATACAAGCGATATATCAAGCCATTGTCATTCGAACAAAGATGATTGTACTGTAACTTTGTGTATTGACCTGTCGAAAGCATTTTACAGTGTCAGCTATGAAATTTTATGCAACAAACTTTATAAATATGGAATCTTTGGACTTAATCAAATCCTATTTGACAAACAGAACCCACTATTTGATTGAAAATGACATCTCTGGGATAATCAAATCAGAATCAATTGTGATAAAAAAGGTGTGCCACAGGGATCCATCTTAGCCCCATTATTATATATACTGTACACAAATGAAATACCAAATGTAGTTAATGAAGATATTGTATTATATGTTGATGATATATTGGTCATAGTAAAAGAAAAGAACTCTCAGTTGGTCATGACAAAGACAACAAATGTGCTCGATGTGTTAAACAATTTCCTCACAGCAAATGACCTACTACTTAATATTGACAAAACTCAAATAATTCATTTCCCAAATAGATCGTTGCCAGAGTTGAATACCTTTGAATATAATAATCAAAATATAAACATATGCAATCAGGTAAAATTTTTGGGACTCTTGATAGATAGGAGAGTGGACTGGAAAAATTACATAGCCTACTTATCAAAAAATATTGCAAAATATTGCTATGCATTGAGAATACTGTCAGAACATGTCTCAACGAAGCTGCCGTCTCTGCATACCATGCTTATATTCAATCTAGGATAAAATATGGAATTATATTCTGGGGAAACTCTGTTGATATCTGTAGGATACCGATACTACAAAAAAAATGTATTAGGTATATCTATAAAATGAAAAAAAAACGATAGCTGCAGAGAAGCTTTTATTAGGAGCAAAATTTGAACTTTGATAAATCTCTATATATATGAAGCAGTAGTATTTGTAACAGAAAATAAATCAGTACTCTTCATTAACTGTGAATAGGATCACTAAAACAACACCAGAACAAAGAATGATCTTAGAAATGAGAAATGCAACTATACATACATACAGANTTCGCTTGATTATGGGTTTCCATATGTTGCGTATTTCTACGCTTACTTGGCTGAATGCGTCGTAGGACAACATTTATGCATCTTCTTTGAACTTCCTCTTAAAACCTTGTTCCTCCCAATGGAATGTCTAATGGAAGTCCGAACTAATGAAATTCACGATGAAACATTGTCATCCTCCTTCAAACAAAATGATCTACACATCTTTGTAAAGAATTCATTTTGAACTTGATTTCTTTCTTCGGAAGTTTTCCACATTTTTTCCATGAAGATAGAGAAATAGAAAGCGAAAAGGCTATTTTCCAAAAACTAATCCTTTGAAAAATATCGACCTTCAAATTTATATTGTTTTAGTATGTTTGGGAACATGTGTCATCACAGACACTAGCCACGTGTTAACTATTGGCGGTTTGGAGAGAAATTTGAAGTGGAATGTGAGATACATGATTTTTAAAGTATTAGTTGCATTGAAAAAATTATGTGAAATTTTATGTATGCATGGTCCTGAAAACTTCCAAAAATAATCAACATTCCTGTCGTTATGTCACAAGAAAAATTGAAACTCTTTCTATGAGCTAGTTGATAACCGGATAAGCTTTTTATAATATTTGTAATGATTACTATCTTCACATAACAATATAGAAGAAGTTCGTTTTGATAAAGTTGATTTCAAAGAAAAAAATGTTTAATAGCAATATGATAAGTTCAATACTCAAAAAATAACGAATGAAGCCAATTTTCAACATTAACAACAAGATTCAAATCAAGACGCTAGTAGTAATACTGAGTGAATTTTAAATATTGACATACAGTTGGAGCCGCAGAATTGAGGGAATTGACATCAATAATGTCAGGCTACCTCCACCAAATTATCTTGTTTCCTCAATTCGTGTTTCGTCACCTAGGGAAATTTTACCTGTTATGACCCATTTTATTCTTGTTTCGTCAACTGCAAAATATACCTGCTTAAGGTGTTCTCATTTAATGTTGATCTTTGAATTGGCTTGTGAGAAAGTCTTGAAAATGTAAATGCTGCAAAAAATTAATTTCATAATATATCAAATATGTTGAAATACAAATCATCAACACTCAGATACATGGTGATTAAAAAAAAGGTATGAACATATTTTCTACTTAACATCTAGAGATGAAAATGACATTTCTCTTATTTCAGAACTTCATGTGAAAACTTATCAAGAATTTGCTACAACTTTATTACCAACATTGAAGAATCTCTGATTAGCAATCCCAAACATTTCAGGAATTATATAAATAGTGAGAGATCTATCTATGGAGAGCAAATAATACAGTGCTTCGCTGATTTTTTTGGGCTGTCCATTTCAAAGTTCCAACAGTTCTTTCAGAATATTTTTTGCCTGGAAATTTCAACTCAAATGACTTAATATAAAACCGAAAGATGGTTCAGATGAAATCCCTAATATGTTTCTTGAAAACTGTGTTTGCTCAATATCCTTATCCCTATCTATTTTATTCAACCTTTCCCATCAAACTGGACTTTTCTCGGATGTACGGAAGACTAATTATATAGTTCCAGTTCATAAGTCAGGAGACAAGGACGATTTGAAAAATACAGAGGGAACTCTGAAGTGTAGACAATGGTATATTTAGATATTCTCTATATTTATGAGCTTTGAAAAATTCGTCAGAAATATCACATCATAATACTTGTATAAAATTTGACTATTATATTGTATGATAATAAGAATATTTATTGATGTATTTCATGTCAATAAGATTAAGTATAAAGTATTTTTACCTATTGTGTTTTTTGGTTTTGTTTTTTTTAACCCGTCAATAAATAAATAAAATAAATTAATTGACCAGGATAATTTATCAAAATCCGCAAGTATTACACTGAAATGTGTGCTTTCATCTAGAGTTGCACTGGAACGCAGAAAAATTAACTTGGCACAATGAATCTATACAATCTATATTCATCAAAGCATAGAAACTCAGAAATAATCTGTGAAACATATTCGGAAAGGATTAATCGATTTTTCCTGGATAATTTCCAGTTATTTTTCATGAGCTTTTTTAGTAATCTTCTGAATGTTTACATTTATCAAAATCCCGGCTGGTAGGTCGAGATCGAATGGAACCTGAAGTAAAGAACGTTTCGTCTGCTACTGTGGCAGACATCATCAGTGGTATGTGCGTTTACTGCGAGAACGAGGGTTATATCTATAAGTCACAGCAGTGACCGAACGTGTTCAATATTGACAATATGTATTTGACAGACAGAATACCAAATGAGTATTCTGTATTCACTCTTATTTCGAACATAGAAGTCTTGAAGGAAAATCATTGATTCTACCTAATTAGTTAATTATGACGAAATTACCAAGCAATTTAATATAATAGTGTTAAAGAGTAGTTCCAGACGAATTTACTAAATGATAACTATTTTCAGACCACAGTACCAACATCGTACCAATCATCACAACTCTCTTCACATTCCTCAAAGACAATCCTCACGAACGGACATAGTGATGTCATCTCAATAAAATCTAACGAGAGTTTGATGAAACCCCTCATATTGACACCTTTTTACGAATCAAGGTATAAAGTGACGTTACCTCAAAATAAGTTCAAAAATATTGGAGAGGCCCTGCCATTTTTATTGAAACGATTACCATTGTGGAATGAATTGGCTAGAAAGGAAGAATATAAAACAATGTATCCGTTTGTGGCGACATCACATCAGGAATTTGAAAAGTGGAATATTGGGAAACGGCTGAATTCTGAAGTAAGTTTTTCTGAATACTCTGTTTCTTTTAAAAAAAACTTCACGCAATGGCATATATAGAAATGTACTTCGTGTGCTGAAATATTAATAACAATTGGTATTTGAAATAAGCACGGTTTTGTCAATATAGTCCTGATAATAAAACATTCCCCATACAATTAATAACCAAATATAATGTTTCATTCAATTCATTGCGAAATAAAAAATTCATAGAACTTAGTTCGTTGGTATTTGGAATGTGAGTATTGCTGATAGATTTTGTGTTATAGTAATGAGTATCCAAATTGTGAACAACAGTCTTTGGAATATACAGATAATTGAATTATTTTCTCCAGTGGGGTGAAGTATTTACGGGTCATATTTCACTTTCCTCAAAAGTCTTGATATATGCCGTTGCTGTTCAGTGGTTGAACTACTTCTGTCAGCCAACGTAAATTTACTGAAAATTTCGAAAAGGCGAGGGACTAATAACAATAACTCCATACATCATAGGAAAAGGCGATGACGTCTACCTGGTACGAAGACGTCATCTATGGAATTGGCAGAAGATTCAGTACATGAATATCAATGATGAACAAGGCTCCCAAAGGCAGTCCATTATTGAGCCATGTTTCTACATTGACCGCTTAATGAGATTCGTTCTGTTTTTCTCTGCAACTTTCACTGAAGGGCAATTAATTGAAACCGGCTGCCGTTTGATCTGATTGGGATTCTCGACTGATATATTTTTTATTATTTGATTGTTCATAATGTTCTGCTACTTTCAAGGGTAAAAGTTGAGCAACTGTTTTTTCTCAAATAATACAAATATCCTTATTTACTAATGCTTATTCTATTATCTATCATCCGTTTCTTGTTAATAGATGTATACGTTCCTGGTTTTGTGGACTGTACTTTGGGAAAATGAGAAACGTTTTCTATCATTCCAGCTATGACTATTTTAATTTTTTAGTGGAATCGAGCAAAAGAAGTGAAGAAAATACTAATAGATAGATTTCCAATGGCCAAGAAATGGAATACAAAGGCCTATTTTATGTATGCAAGAACTCATGCATATCATTGTTGTTTTGAAAATGTAGATTCTCTTTTTAAAAATAAATCAAGAGAGCTAACTCTTATTGATAAGTGTTTCATGGAGTCATTACCCAGTAAGGTGTATGCAGGGAAAAAGGAGGAAAATGATATCAACATTGATGTTGTCTTAAATGGAGGTACTTATATTTTATTAAATATNAGATGTCTACAAAATTATCTCAGTTATTATTAAAAAACTGATTATTTTTGAAAACTTTGCCACCCTGTATCTCAAAAGTTAGGGCGTTTAGGACATAAGAATTACCTCCTTAAATATTAGCATGTGTTTAACAAACACCCTGTATACATGTATATGTATGTATGTATGTATGTATATGTATATCTGCGGCAATAGCAACTACCGCAAAAAAATAAGCATATAAACACTTCTAAAAACAGCTGCCGACAAAATCGCAATGAAGATGGATACCTCACCATACTCCATCAAAATATACAGTGTTTGAGGAACAAAACTGATGAAGTTGAAATATTTCTAGACTCTCTATCATCAAAGCCAAAAATTTTATGCATAACAGAGCATTGGCTCTTAGAATCCGAAATAGAGAGTATACAAATAAAGGGATACGAATTGAAATCAGCTTTTTCCCGGAAAATGATGCAGCATGGAGAAGTCAGTATCTACACAACAAACGATATGGATACGGAGAGTGTAGAGAGTGTTGTCAGAAAAAGTATTGAAGGTCATTTGGAATGTGGAAGTGTAGTAATTAGGAAAATGAAAATTGTAATTGTATGTTTTTACAGAACTGGCTTAGGATCATTCGATATTTTCATTGAGAACATGGAAGAAATAATCGATTTAGTTCATGAAAAATTCACTACATTTAAGGTTATACTATGTGGAGACTTTAATATCAACTTGCTTGAAGACAACGTACAAACTAAGGTACCTATTTTTAGACTTACTCCTCACTTACAACATAACACAAACTATTTTTGAACCAACCAGATTAACAAATATTTCATCTACTCTATTAGATAACATTTTTGTAAATTTTGATGACTATGAAAAAAGCATGGTTTTAAATACTGCATTATCTGATCACTATGGACAAATGATAACCCTTTTCACAATTGTGCTAGAGCACTAAAATAAGCCTAAGATTTCACATTGAAATAGGAACATATTGTAGCAAAATTGCCAAATTACTTTCAAGAAATTAGCGATAAATATATATGTCCATTCAATCTGAGTGGTAAAAAAATGGTCCAATTAGGTGAGCTCCAATAATTCCAGCCTTGACATTTAATAACAACTGCTCCTGATGACAAAATTCCATGATTGCATGAGGATTTTTCTCGGACCAAGTATTATTATTATGCAAATTTCTGATCCTGATTTCAGTAAAACAGGACCAGAATTTCCCTGTCAAATAAAGGATTTTCTCGTAAAGGAAAGTCTCGAGGAAGTTGAGCCTGAATCTGCTGAATGTCATAGGGATATAATGAATAATTATGCAGAATTCTCCAAGATAGAATATGGGCGATATTCAAATTATTGGCAACTTACGTTAACTAAATTTCAAACAGCTATCTCAATTTCGGTAGTTTTTGCAGTCCTTTGTGCTCTTTTCAAATAATGATTTGGCTCTAAACGTCTTCTTTGGTGCTTATAATCGTTCAAGAATCAGAGACCATTCTGTTTGGGAAGTGCTCTTGATACAGTTACCTGGCTTCATCGAGCCAGAGAAATGTCAAAACTCCAAAACTGTATATATCGACAACAACGAAATTGTCAGTCTAGATGTGTCTAGCCCACAAAAAACCTACTTCACTACAACGGCTGATTTCACATAGGGGCAAGCAAATTGATGCATTTTATTTTCTACCTCAAAAACTGTTCGCCGGGCAAACAAATTATAACCACAATTGTGAAATCAAGATTAAGAGAAAACATCGAAATCGCTNAAACAAATTATAACCACAATTGTGAAATCAAGATTAAGAGAAAACATCGAAATCGCTGGATAAAAAAAAGGTAGGAGACCCTTTTTATGAGAAGATAGAGAGAATTTATAAAAATAATATTTAATTGGAAATAGCGTATTATTATTTTGAAAAAAATATATGGCAGGGCATGTTAACAGGGACGCCACTAATGAACAATAAGAAAACCTTTACCATGGAAAAAAAATTTATGCGTACTTTACATGTACCAAAATTTGAAAAACGTTATTATCCAAGGATTATCGCCCTTCACGATCAGCATTCAATTATGAAGCACTCCTCATGTACTATTCTATTACTCATTTGTGACTTAACATATTGTTGTAAATCATCCCCAAAAAAGTGAAGCTCCTCAAACTTGTTTCCCAGGGGAATTCCTCAATACTTCTCAAACTCAGCAGCATACTGGTTATTTCTGTGAAGTTTTCGGAAACTTGGGAAAGCGGTTTGAAAACAGACTTTATTACTGTTTATAAAATAGTGAGTGAGTAGACTCCATTTTTATTTTTGGAAATTCTTACCGTTAAATAAAAGTCCTTTAATTAAGGTTTAAAGTATTCCTTGAAAACTGCCTTCCTTGAAAATAAATTGACGTGCCCATCTGATTTTTCATATTGTTTTTTGAAAAGAAAATATTAAGAGTGGTATCTTTTCATATTAAAAATAGTCATCAATTGTTTTTTTTTTCATCAGGTAATGAAACCATAGTGGAAGTGCACCTTTACGATAATCATGAATCGCCCAAACCCGAGACCATCATAAAACCAACAGATGAACCAACGAACAATTCAGCTATCACTACAACCCCCATAATGAATAGTCAAATGAAAATTGAAGAACATAGCGTTGACAGTAAATCACTTTTCAATTTTGATTTGAACCTAGCACAGTTGCCCAATCTTGAATCTGATTTTTCCCAATTTAATTTCAGTAAATATGATTCCGGCTTTTCTGAGTCTGGTACTTTCAATCTGTCTGATTCCACTCTTACTAATTCCCATTCTCATTCTGCTTATGAACAATCAGACACAGCTTCTGTCGGTAACGAACATGACTATTGTCAAGATGGAGACATTATGGAGGAACAAGTTATTGATAATGCAGCAGACACAAGACATAGTGGGTTTAAAGAGTATTTGAATTTTGAACATTCCTACTGTTTGTCAGGCGAAGCCAAGAATGTAGATTATACATGTGATCATTCAGAAAAATTCCCTGCAGGTGCCCAGGAACAAGATGCAAACAAACTAATTTTTGGACTAGACAATACATACTTGAAGAGTGAACATAATGTAAGTGTTAATTTGATTTTATAATTCAATTAAATGATGAATGGTAGTAAATAAATAACTTTTCAAGGGTTCAAATTGTAATACTTATATATTGAGAGACCTCACAACACTGGTAAAACTCCAAATTCTTTTGTTGGAAAAGTTGCGATAAAACTTCACATGGTCTTTGGGAAAAAAGTTTTTTGGATTTTTATTTCTCCATCTTCATAGAAAAAGTTTGGAAAAACTTCTGAAGAAAAGAAGAGAGCAATTAAATTTAAATTAAACTATTTTCAAAGTTCAAAGAGGTTCTGATTAGGCGTTGAAGACGTATTTTCTATCCAAAACTTTGAGAAGTACACCTAAAGAATGATAGACTTCCATGATAGTGAAATTGTATATCAATTCTCTTACATTTAATATATTGTGTATAATTCTNCTTCTGTTAAATTGAACAGGCGTAAGTATCACATTTTCAGCCAGATTTTGTACTCATCATATTTCAATTGAAGTCAACCTAAGTTCAAAAGTCGTATATGGAATTTTAAAGCAGTTTTATGACAATTTGACTCAGTGCAGGGCAGATAGGACAATTCGACCATGTATTTGCTTATCAAATTCTATATGAATTGCAATAAAAGAAGTCTCAACTGTCAGATAGGACGACATGACTTAGCATCAACCAGATACGATACTTTGATTTAGTAACCGCTTGATATTCTCGAGATACGACAAATAGTGAATGTTATTTTAGGTATTTAGACTGAAGTTACGACATTCTGACTGTGTCCCTTGGATAGGTTGTGTTCAACAGAAGCGAAATATTCGAAAACCTTGAAATGCAATTTTTGGTCAGTTACGACCTTCTGTCTTAGCACGGCAGTTTACGTACATAGTTGTTTCAAAAGGACTTTTTCTCTAGTGTAATTTAATGTTCATGTGAAAGTAGTTGTTTCGAAAGGAATTTTTCTTGCAGATACAACCTGAAAGAAACTTGTATAAGTGATTTACATCTCATTTGTTCAGACTTCTATTGTCTAATATGATATAATATGATTTGAAATCCCTGAAAGAACAAATAAAATTGAAAATTTGGAAGATGAACAATGGGAGAATATTTACACTGAAAATAATATCAATAATGCCTGGAACGAGTTTTTAAATATAATCAGTGGTTTGATAGATTCCTGTTTCCCTATTAAAAACACACCCATTAATAAAAGAGCTGAAAAGAGAATTTGGTTTCACGAGGAACTTCTGCATTAACTCTTATATTAGATTTAGCAACTTCTTACCCAATATATCATCAACCAAGAGCAGAGCTACAGAAACGCTACTGCAATGCATTGTCAGAGACTAAGAAAAGATATAATGATAATTTGATAATTAAAGGGTATAAAAAATCAAAAACTCTATTGAAAATGATTTGAAAGGACGTTGTAAAAACAATATACCCATCAACATTCACGATGAAAATGGTAAACAGATGACTGCCCCGGAAGTGGCTGAGCAGTTTAACATCCATTTCACTAGAGAACCATTTTCAGTAAATCAGCATGATCTGGATTATCTAAAGTTAAATATGCCGGTGACAAAAAAGTCATTTTTCTTAAAGCCCGTTCCTACTCAAGTGGATTTGATGAAATATTAAATAACTTACTAAAAAAATCGTATGCAGGTTTATGTGAACCATTGGCTTTTCTTATCAATCTTTGTTATTCTGAAGGAATTTCCCAGAATGTTTGAAGTTGGCTGTGGTTCTGCCATTATGCAAAAAAGGTGATTCTGATGACTTTTCCAATTATAGAGCCATCCGTTTATTATCA